TCCTGGCTGAATCCAGCACACCAGGACATTGATCTGTTGTCTTTTTTAGCTTTCATATGTACAATTTTTCTGAGTTTAGAAGATGTTCAGTTTTGGTTTATTCTCTGAAAATCTGTTTTTTAGGTTATCATCAAGAATATGGGTTGGAATCTCATCTCTCCTCTTGTTAGATGTATTTTCATGTATAAACAGGAAAATGATAAGCGAGAACACTGCCTGAAGATACTAGATCAGTTGTCACAGGTATGTTTTTGAAATACATGATTGTAATACAATAGTTGTAGGGAAGGGAGAGGTTCTAATTTTCCCTCTGATTTCCAAAAAACGCGAGGCATGAATACATGAGGTTCTTCTGTCCATTTCCTGTAACTTTAAAACTCATGGGCCAGTTTCAGCTGAAGTAGACACAGGCTTACTGTTCTCAGAGATAACTGACCTCTTAGAAATCTTGTGAAATTAGTAACTGTGCAAAACAGACACAGCATTACCCAGAAGAAAAAGACAGATAGAACTCATTAAGTTTTGGATAGCCAGCTGCTGCAGTCAGAGCAGCCAAAGCAGTACTGTCCCTTGTCTACTGCAGATACAGTATGACAGTGAGTACGTAATGATTCTGATGGAGTAGTAGGGGAAAAATGTTTTAATCTCTAGAAAACTAGTTCCTTTTCATTCATGTACTTAAAAAACAACTTGCAAGCTCTCTAGCTTGAGTTAAATTCACACTGAAGTTCTTTTCTCTCTAACCCTAAGGATTACTTTGCTAATGTACTTTGAGGTTTTTATAGACTATAGAAATCAAGTTTAGTGTCATTATTTAGTATTGCATGTTCTCAGCTTACATGAAAGTGTACAACATATACACTCTACAGAAGATGTTACTTGTAGGGAAGTACTGTTTCATACTTGTTTTTTGTAAAGATTATCTTGGATGGATCTGCTTTCTTGATGTTCAGGAACTTCTGTATGGAAGTTTGTATTGAGGCTGGTGATGAATCCTTTACCTTGTGACCATGGTGATTTAAAAAAAATATGGATTGTTCCTCTCCTGCAGCTGTGCAATCCGAAGGAACTTTTTTTGGGTTTACTTGAGCAGATTGAGCAGACGTCTGGAGAGCAAGTGTGCCAAACTGTCATGGTATTGCTTCAGCCTTTGCAGACAGGTAAGATGCCCTTTCTCACGTGATTTCCAAATTAAATTTTTGCATTTATCAAACTCATTTAGCCTTTGCTGAAATAGTTTCAGAATATGTCTGTCCTGCCAGGCTTTACAGTCTATTATATTCTGCAGAATAAAACAAGGTATAATTTTCATGCTTATATTTGCCTGTTAGAAAAAGATTTTAAGTGGGATTAATAGAATCAGTTGAAAAAGCAACATTGAGCTATTTTTCATCCTTTACAAGAATATGGTTCTGTGACAGCTATATATATAGAGAGATGTAAACCATTCATACTGTTATTACAGAAATAATTACATGGATTGTGAAATTCTTCATTATTTAACTTTTAAAATATAAAATTCCATATTTTCGTGGTAGAAAACTTTTATTTTTGATTGAAGCAGGTTGAAATATTTGGTTGGTTGGGGGGGGAAGCATTCTTCTGACTTACATATCATATCTAAAAATGTTGGGTTTGGACATCCACTAAGTAGGTAACAAGTAACAGTTTCTGGTTTTATATGCGAGATGAAATCAAGTGTCTTGTATCAAGTTTAAGTCTGTCTGTAGGAGTCTCTGAGATGTGTTATTGAATTATGTTAGAATTTAGCAAGAGAAGCTTTTTGGTAATAGAAAGTATGTGGTTTTTTGAATAGCCAGTCTATAGTCAGTCTACACTGAATGCAGTTTAAGTGGAGAGCCACTTGTGCTACTTCCTCAGCCTGGGAGCCCCTGTTGGTTCTGCCATGGAGTATGGAACGGTTCTGAGCTGCTTCAGGAAGAGCTCTCTCAGCAGAGGCTGAGCCTTTGCCTCTGGTTTTGCCAAGCATGGAAGGCATCAAGCAGTAAAGCAAGAATAAATAGTTTTTTCAGATCAGATAAATGAATATTACTTCACTTAGCCTAGTTCTAGAAAGATTTTTTCAGTTCTCATCGTGCATGACTGCTTTAAGATTTGTCATTCTCAAATGTATGATCTTCATAACCACAGCATGTTAAACTAGCTGATGATGCGTAGTCTTGCTGGCTTTGCTCATGTGATTTCAGGTATGAGTCCCTCTTCTTCCCTGAAACTAGAAGAGTTCTAATGTAGTCACATTGTTTTTCTTCATGTTTTCTTCTAGTAAGTAATAACTTAACGTCTCAAAATCTGTTCTCTCTTTCTGTCTCTCTCTTTCCTTTCCCCCAGTGCTTTTGAAACTTCAGAACAAGAAGGCCTACTCAGTGGGTTTATCTTTGGCCATGATTATGAATCAGCTTACTCCCTTACCTGTACCTTATACAAAAGAACAAATACAAGAAGATAAACTTGGTCTCTGTCAGTGTTGTAATGCAGTGGTGGAATTTGCTAAACCTTTTGTGAATGAAGTTGTTAAAAACACAGAAAAGTCGTCAGAGTACAATGACATGGAGCTGAAAGAAGAAATACTAAAATTGTGAGCATTTTATGTTAGTGTAATACATTACTATAACTGAATGAACAGTGGGTATTATTGCATAGGCAGTAAATAATCTTATTAGTGTTTTATAATGCTGCCAATTTCTATTAACTAATGTGATATTTTGAAAAAGAAAACCCTCTCATAAATATGCCTTACATTTATGAAGTGAGATAAGAAAGGAAATTTTTTCTTTTTTTTTTTTTTTTTAGCACAGATAGATAGTAAAGAAATAGTAGTCTCTGTGCTGTGAAGCTCTCTTGGTATTCTGCTTCGCAAATTTACAGCAGTGAGGGTAATCATATTCTGGAGGTGAAGTCAAAGGAATGCATCTCTACAGGAGATGTGCTTTTTTTAATTTTCCTTGTAACGTCAGGAGTAGCAGCAGCTAATATGAGTGTAGTCTTTATTCTTGGTCATCAATGACACTCTTATAGTCTGTATTTGTGACCTTATTGATGATTTAGTTTCATCCCTTTTTATTTCAGCTGTATGAAAAGCCTGAAATACCCATTACTGACAGCTCAGCTTGAGCAACTTGAAGGCATTGAAGAACATCCCTTTCGCCATTTTGCAACTGAAATTATAGTAAGTGCAGTCAAAATTAATCGGTGCTTGTAAAACCCGTGCTTTAGTTAGGAATTACCTATAATTTGTTCTAGAGCTCATTTTGCTTCCTTTATTGGTTAGTGGGATGACTTACGGGGCCTTGTGACATAATGCAGGTAGATAAAGGTCTAGAAGAGTTCCAGGTCCCATCTCTGGAAATTGCAGATCTTGCAGACAGTTTTGCTCCTTACAGACCGGTTTGGTGAATCAGCAGCTGCTACTTGGCTGTAACTGCTTCTTTGTCTTGGTGATGTATAAATTTATTAGAGTATCTAAAGAATTGTCTTTGCGGTATTACATCAAGGCAAAATCTGCATGTTACCTTTAATCCAGGTGTTACAGAGAGAGAAACTTCTAATGTGCCTAGTACAGCACCAGCTGACTGTTAAAGAATATTAAGTGAGGCCTGACTGCTGCTGCTGCTATAGCTGGAAATTCGGTGGGAACATGGCCACTCCATGCTACTGGTTCACCTGCTCTGGTTTTGAATGTTTTACATAGCAGCTGTGCTTTACTGGAGCAAGGTTATTGTGGGTATAGATAGTTTTATTTAAATTTGTAGAAAAACTAAGCCTTATAAGGAGATAGTCAGGTACAGTCCATGCTGATGTTGGAACACACAATAGTGTCTGTTTTCAGAAACAGGATGAGCCGTGATTAATGAAGTTACAGCAAGTAGAGCTGTGCTTTGTTTGTGTTTTTAATGTGGTAAAATTTCTCCTCTTGCACATACCCAGATGTAATGGCTTGACCCAAGCTGGCAGCTAAGGCCCCACTCACTCACTCACTCAGCACAGTTCCTCCAGCTATGGGAGGAAGATGGCTGAAATGGCTGTGAATTAAGAACTAGGGAGTTAGAAGGCAGACAGCTTTTTATATGACACAGTGCAGGAATTAGTCCTACAAGAGCAGAGAGAGTGGGTCAGGGTGTCACTTTCGGGGAGGGAATGGCACACTAAGACTTAATGAGTTTCAAGGGAAGACTTGAAGCCAGCTGGGATGAGGTAAGCACACATAAATATACTGTATATGTCTGCAAACGTGCATGCATGCAGAGGAGGTCTGGAAGTTGCCATGTGATGCAACTCTTTGTTTTCTAATTTGTGTATAAAAATCTTAAGCATTTTTGCACACAAATTTCTGTACCCAAATGTTAAGATTGTAAAGCAAAGCACACTGAGCAGTTAGTAAAATTTTGGTTGTTTTTCAACCATAGCTAAGCTTTCTATCCATGATCACATCCATCTTTTTTTCCCACAGCATGTCTCAGCATAGGATGGAGCTGCTGTGTGAATCAGTCGGGGCTGTGCAATGAGAGAGAACCTTGTCTCTGAGACCTTTACTTCACTTATTGCAGGACTTTTAGGGTGTGCAGTGAAGGAGACAGGAATTACCAGAAGATGATCCCATGGTTAAGATAGGTGAAGGGTGTTCTGGAAAATAGTCTTTTTAACCTGCCTCTCCTGTTGGGCACAGTCTGAAACCATGGTTTTTATGCTTTTTATGAACTACCTTTTCTTCACTTTCTCAATAAATTCACTTCTGCTACTTCTGGAATTGGGTAGTGAGCGCTGCAGTTAAGGTCAGCGAAGTCATGTTTTCACTATATGACATCTTGGGTAATCCTAATTTTCCAAAATGTGAGGTCCCAGATGTTCAGTTTGGACAACCCCAGAATAGCGAGTTAACCTTGGTCTCACTGTTTCTTCAGGATACCTACAACAGGAGTTACACTGCCCCCTGATCCACATGAATGTGGGGGGGGTGGAACCACAGGAGTATTTGTGAAGTACTCGCGTCTCGTCTTGTCTGTCACTGGAAAGAAAAGCCATACAGAGTGCTTCTGATTTCAAAGCAGGGATTGTCTTTAGCAGATAAACATTGATTAGTGAGCACAAAACAAAACACTGACTATTCTGTGATCTGAAATACAAAAGGTCCTGTGGCATAATGTGATGAGGAAGCTGTCATTCATAGCGCTGTGGATAAGGGAGCCAAGCTAGGGTTTTGCAGGGTGACTATTTTGTCTTTTGCTACCGTCGTAACACTCTTCTAACAGTATTTTTCCTGCAGGATCTTTTTTGTCTACGTGTATATACCATGAATACAAAATACTTATTAATTCATACACATGCTGTGTAAGAGAACTTACTGTAAATACAGTGAGAGGTTAAAGCTCTGAAACTGAGTTGGTGTACAGGTCTTTAAAAGGCAACTATAGGCAATCTGTCTTTGTTTTTTAGGACATTTTGTGGGATATAAGAGAATTGATACCATTAGTGTTTTTCCATCATAAAGGCCAAAGTCCACAATGGGAGAATCAGGAGTTTGCAGATATAGAGAAAAAGAATTCTGCGGATTCTTTGGCATGTCTGTCATATCTGATGTTTGTTCAGCATTTTGGTATTAATTGCTTTCCAGTGGTATATAGGTAAGAACCATTCTTCCTTGTTTATCGTTAGGCTGTACTTTGAAGATTCTTTCTGAGCAGAAGAAAACCCTTCGTTTGTGAATAGTTATGAATGAAAACTGTGTATTTAAGCAGTAGTGGTTTTATGTCAACTTTCATGCGTTCACATTTTATGTAGCTTATATACATAAGAACATACTCCAGTCCTGCAGATAACTCTACCATTATGGTTTAGTTTTAGATGAGCTGTCCTACCTGATTGGTAGATTAGTCACATGCTGAAAATTAACATGTATTACATTTTCAACTGCATATTCATGGACAGTTTCCACTTAAGAGTTACTAACAGCAATTTGACTTAATATTTTGTGTCTATTTTCAAATTATTAGTTTTCTAAGGATATTTTAATAATTTTTTTCAAAAAAAACCTAATCCTGCCATTTATTAACTATGTGCAAATGTATATGGCTTATGCAGTTTAATGTAAACCTAATTTTTCTCTCCAGCCCGTCATACCTTCTGCAGTGCAACATGACGCATATTGAAGTGCTGCTGAAAAGGTAGGGCTTATGGTACTTGGAGCTGGTATTGGTAGTGGGTGTGATCTTTCGTAGGAATTCATAGAATCAGAAGTCGAATATGCCAGGTGAGGTCAGAGGAGGCTTTGAGACCTGAGAGTCAAAATAGCAAGTTCCAAGATGGCTTCTTTTACTAAGAAGTATAAAATGTTGTCTAAAACATTTATTTATTGTTTTTAGCTTGTATAGTGATACCATTTTTAGAAAGTTTATTCTGAAAATGCCAAATTAAGGTCTTCTAAACACGTGCTGAATAATGAGAGTGGATGTTTACCTGTACTTCTGTAACAGTTTACGACTAGAGAAGACTGCCACAACAGTAATTATTTTAATGTATTCTGATCCGACATGCATCCTGATAAAGGTCAGGCTCTCTTAAGGAAACCAGACTTTTCTATGTATTGTGATTATTTCACCCTCCATAAGCAGCAGTGTTGACCAGATATTTTCTAGTGCTGGCATAGAAGGGACGTTTTCCATTATGACTCCTTACCATTTCCGGGCAAAATTTAAACAAAACTTCCTGGTTTCTTCAGTTTAGGATCTGCTGTGTTTTTATTAGACTTGCAGAACTGTGCAAACTAGGAGAAGTTGCATTTTCTTTGCTAATCAGTGCCTTGATACCTGTGAGATATGAGATGCTGCTTTTGAGCAATTATAAATATTGAGGGGAAAAAATATCATTTTTAACCCTAATGAGAGGAATCTAATTTTCAACTTTTAATCAGCCAGTTTATTCTAAAAATCTTGGAGAGTACAAAATAGAATGAAAATTGTTGAGGGACAAGTTCTTTTGATCTCTGTTCTAGTATTTCTTCTGAAATACCAACAGTGTCTTGTTAATTAACAAATTTGATGATGTTTCTTTTTCTAGAACAGAAGAATCTATGTTATCTAAAGGACTTGTAAGTTCTCTTTTAATCAAAATTCCGATGTTAGATTGTTTTATTTTTTTTCCTGTTTAAGTAATGGTAAATCACAGTTTCACTTTCTAAGAAAGGTACAAATGATAGTTCAGATAATAGTTTCAGAAACATTTTGAGGCTCCATTACGTATTCTTCAGTCTTACACATTATTGAAATTTACACATATGCAGGAATGTTTAAATTACCGTTGCTCCTTAGTCTGTAGCTCCTAGGAACTTGGGGTATGCGAATGAGCGTTTGTAGTGAAGGTGGTTTTAGCTGTGAAGTGTTAAGCCTGTTGATTAACGTCTCATCTGTGTGCAAGATGATGGCAGCTTTTTTTTTCTTTATCACCTGCAGGATCTGTTTGAGAGCTGTTTATTGAGAATGGAAGATAATAGCCTTCTCCATCAGTATTTAGAATTTGGAGATTTTATTAAAGTACCCCAGGTAATAAGAAGCAATGTACAGAAGTCCTTAAAGTTTGATTATAAATAATATCTAGCTGCCCTCTAGGTGTTTGAGAGAGGACATACTACTGAACCTTCATGCACGCGTATCATTAAATTGAAACCTTCAGTGCCTTGCTGTACAGGATGACTCTCTTTTCTGCCTGCTGCAGCATGAAGTTTCAGTGCCAATTAAAATACACTTAGTGTATGTACAGGCCACTGAGGCAGGTGGGCACTGATCTTAGCTAAAATATGATGCTTGCACATTTTTGCCTCTTCCTTGCAAACCTGCTGCTCGACTATATTCTCATTTGGACCCAACAATACAGGAACAGTAGTCTTGTGTTTCAGCCCTGGGATTTCAACCACTGAAGCTAACGTGAATTTCTCTGATGAGAGTCTTCTCATAGTCATGGTTTTGTGGGCTGTGTGGTTTTGGTTGGTTTGTGATTTGTTTGGGGGTTTTTTGATGACTGGATTTTAGTCAGTGTGATGTAATAATCTGTATGTAATTAGAAAATATGTTTTCTTCGTCCAACTGCAGGATTTGGTGAAAGTTATGACCCTGTGTCCCATAGAGCATCTGGTATGTAATGGGACCTACAGAATCAGTTAAGTGCTGAATTTATTTAATTAAAATTAATCTGATAACCTTTTTTTTTTCTTTAGAGAAAGAAAAGTTTAAATGTTTTGCAGTTGTTCATAGACAAGTTTGATGCAGAGGGAAAATACACATTATTCAGGTATGCATTGAAATACTGCAGATTGTGTAATAACAGCCTTATTGCATCTTAATTGTGTAGATACAATGATTTCTGCAGAGTTTCTGGTAAACCACATTAACTTTACTGTGTCAGTGTTCAGATAAATAATGAATTCCAGTTGCCTCATATAAAACCATCTGTCTCAGGTAAGCTAGTGTGTAAAGGTTACATAGTCATTATATTTTTCTGCATTTAAAACTCCCACTTAGTGAATAAGGCCGTAATGTCATCTAGGTTTGGACCTAACTATGTAGGCAGCTTTGAAGAGGTAACATCTTTATTTGTTTTGTTTGAAGGTGTTTACTGAAGACAAGCAACCACGCTGGTGTGGAAGGATACATTATTAAAAATATAAAAGATCAGATTCACTTGTCGTTAACGGTGAGGCTATTACCACTAAAATCCAAGTTGTCATCTCAAAATTCTATCAGCATTATGTTGAGAAAATTTTTGCCTTTTTATTTTTAACTGTTAGGGCCTTTTTTAAACCAGATTTGGTTCTCAAGGAGACTGTCTTTGTCAAATAGGACAATATAGTAAATTTATGCCTATTTTATGCTAGCATAATTATGGTAGAAAACGGTGAATTACTGCTTATTAGATCATAGTCTGTCCTGTATATTGAATCAGCAGGCGTGAAGATAATGATAATATGAAAACTGTTCCAAAAGGGGCTTGCACTAAAATTGACTACGTAAAAGTATATTCTGAAATTTCCTTACCAATTAATTTTCTGACTATGCTGCTTCAAAAATCTCATAATATACTTCTTGCATGTAGAGTTCCCATGCTGTAAAAAAGACAAATAATTTTTAAATTTCACCGTATGAATTGCAGTGTTCTGGCCTTGTTACAAAGAATTCTTCTGTAGACATAATGATCACAATTTCCTCTTGCTATCCAAGCGTTTCGTCTTAGTTTTTGTGCCCAGCTAGTCTTAATCTTTTCAGGTCCCTCATCTGATCTGACTCAACAGAGAGTTTCCCTTCTCGCCTCCTTAGCTAATCTCAGTTTTCCTTGCAATCCGTTTCTGGCCCTGTCCCGGTTTCCTCTCCCATCTCTTTTGCCCTGTGCCGCGATATCTCTTCCTCCAACCCTCCCCCTCTTTACCTGAGACAAGGACCGTGCAACCTCTCGCGCACTCAGTTCTGTTGTGCCGACATGACGTAGCCACGTAACTGCCGGCGAGAGGCGTGCTCCCTTGCTCTGGGAATGATGAGCACCAGTGCAGCGGGGCTCGGCCATCCTCACTGCGGAGGGAATTTTCAGTGGTCTTAGCTCCAAGGCTTAAAAAAGCTTCCGCTAAGCGAGAGGTGGTTTTCTGCTGGTTTGCCCCTCCTCACTTGATAATTTGTTGTAATTTACTGGAATTTTTGTGAAAATAGTGAGTGGTCTGTGATGCAAGGGGCTTCAGACAAATTATGTTCTGCCACTTCAAAACCTAGTGCTCTCCACCTTAGGCTTAAATGGTTCTACCTTCAGTCCTCTTCCCCCTCCCTCTTTCAGAAGGAAGTAACTGAAAGTCCTTCCTCCATCCAAGAGCCACAGAGGTGAAGGTATACTTCACCTGCAAGCAGTGCTGGGAATTGTGGGTTTAGGAGTATGTAAAGAAAACTTAACTAACCTGATCTTTAAAAAAAAAAAAGTCGACACTACTATTATGAAATGAGTAGAGTCTCTGATAAAGACAGCTAATTGTTCAATGCCTCAGTATAAAAAAGAGAGTGCCTAGTAAAATTTGCTAAATTTATGTAAATCAGTATTAATTGTATAGATGGTGAAGAGGTGGAGGATCCGCTCTGGTGAAACTGAAAAGAACAGCTTGGCCTGAAGAGCCCAAGTCGGGAGGGTTCTGAAGATGAGAACTAAGATGCTCAGAGGGCTGGAGCACCTCTCCTATGACGAAAGGCTGCGAGAACTGGGCTTGTTCAGCCTGGAGAAGAGGAGGCTCCGAGGAGACCTCATTGCAGCTTTCCAGTATCTGAAGGGGGGCCTACAAGGGTACTGGGAGAGGACTTTTTACAAGGGCCTGTAGTGATAGGACAAGGGGTAATGGGTACAAATTGAAATCAGGGAGGTTTAGATTAGATGTCAGGAAGAAATTCTTCACAGAGAGGGTGGTGAGGCACTGGCACAGGTTGCCCAGAGAAGCTGTGGATGCCCCATCCCTGGAAGTGTTCAAGGCCCGGCTGGATGTGGCTTTGAGCAACCTGGTCTAGGGGAAGGTGTCCCTGCCCATGGCAGGGGGGGTGGAACTAGATGATCTTTAAGGTCCCTTCCAACCCAAACCATTCTATGATTCTATGATTCTATGAGTCTGTACACCTCGGTCACATGCAGTAACTAGGAAAGGTTCCTTCCCCTGCTCGAGTCTTTCTTTTTGCTTTTCTGTTTTCCCCAAATTGCTGTTAAACTATTTAAGATTTATTTAAGATACCTTTAAGACTTCTATTTTGCACTCAGCTAAACTTTTTGTATCCTTTTTTTCCAAAAGGCATGTGACAACGTTTGGTTTACAGGACCTCACCTGCTCTCCCTTCTAGATTTAGTGCTTTTGCTTCCAGAAGGGGCTGAGACAGATCTTCTGCAAAACTCAGACAGGTGAGTTGTAATCACAGGTAGAGGCTTGTCTCCTTTTTTAAACATTTAAAAAGACTTCAAACCTCTCATTTTTCGTAAGGTACTACGCTGTCATGCAATTAATGATGTAACAGCATCACTGTACTTTAAGTTTTTTGAACTGGAAATGGGAATGATCGCTTATTTTGACCATCCTTTCAACTAACACTGTGTAGAAGAATGTCACAGTAGTATTACATTGATTTCAACAATAAGAAAGGAATTTCTTCCTCCATTCCCTGAGGATATAAGGCCTCAGATGTCAAATTACAGAGCTGATTTGCTAAAGCATTATTTCTTCGGGACTGTATGGTTTGTCAGCTTCCTGCAGCAGCAACTGGAGGAGCAAAAGAAACGTGGCATGTTGCCTTATGTGACACAGGGGAATAGCAATTATCAGGTAGTTTGTAGCACATAGCCTTTTTGACAGGCTGTTTCACAGATTGCTGCTGGGAATCCAGTATCGCATGCGTGGGAATACAGAGCCGCCTGAACAGCAAACACTTGCATTAAGTAATGTAAAGAAAACTGGAAGTGTCTCTGAAAATCCCCTCTATAAGATTACTCTCTTCCTACACGATGAGTAAAGGTTGGGATTGTAAGTCAGTAGGGTGATAGTGTCTGGGTGGACACATAACTACTTAAAACCCCAGATGTGTGATCTGTAATTGTAGTGTTTACCTGGAAAAAGCAACGAATAGTTTCTGCTAAAAAGTAAGGTAAAACAGAAGCAAAAAGTGTATTTTTAACAAGCACTCAAAATAAATATTCAGTACAGTAATAAACTATCACACTGGTTTCATATCAACTCTGGATCATCAGTGATGTGTACTGAAATTGTGTAATAAGGTTCTGTGTGTTCTCAGAGACCTTTTTCCCTCCCAACCGCCAATCTTCAACCTGCTGACAGTTCTCATCTTGCTTGGGAAGTGTCAACTGTTGTAACATGGAAATTATGCAAATGCACATGGAGAATAAGGAGGGGATTGGTGACAGCCAACATGGCTTCACTAAAGGCAAATCCTCCCTGACAAATTTGGTGGCCTTCTACAATGGGGTTACAATGTTGGTGGGTAAGGGAAGAGCAACTAAAGTCATCTGGACTTGTGCAAAGCATCTGACACTGTCCAGTATGACATCCTTGTTTGTAAATTGGGGAGACATGGATTTGACAGGTGGACCGCTTGGTGGATAAGGAATTGGTTGGATGGTCACACTCAGAGAGTGGTGGTCAATGGCTCCATGTCTGGGTGGAGACCGTGGAGTATTGTCACTTTAGTGCAGAGTAAATGGTAGGGAAAATAGCATTTAGCTATAGGCTGGAGCAGGCGAGGTGAGTTGAGCACCTCTTCAGTGATGACAGTATTATCAAGCTTTCTGTGTGAGAGCTTCTCACTTTGTCCCAGGCTGGAGAGGTGGGCCACTGCCAACCTCATGGAGTTCAACAAGGCCAAGAGCAAGGTCCTGCACCTGGGTTGGGGCAATCCCAAGCACAAGGACAGGCTGGGTGGGGAATGGAGGGAGAGCAGCCCTGGGGAGAAGGACTTGGGGGTACTGGTGGATGAAAAGCTGAACATGAGCCAGCCGTGTGTGCTGGCAGCCCAGAAAGCCAACCGTATCCTGGGCTGTATCCAGAGAAGTGTGGCCAGCAGGTCGAGGGAGGGGATTCTCCCCCTCTGCTCTCGTGAGACCCCACCTGGAATACTGCGTCCAGCACTGGAGCCAACATAAGGAGGCTATCGAGCAGTTGGAGTGAATCCAGAGGAGGCCACAAAGACGCTCAGAGGGCTGGAGCACCTCTGCTGTGGGGACAGGCTGAGAGAGTTGGGCTTGTTCAGCCTGGAGAAGAGAAGGCTCCGGGGAGACCTTATAGCACCTTCCAGTACCTGAAGGGGCTACAAGGAAGCTGGGGGGGACTTTTTACAAGGGCCTGTAGTGACAGGACAAGGGGTAATGGGTTTAAATTGAAAGTGGGGAGATTTAGATTAGATACCAGGAAAAAATTCTTCCTGGAGAGGGTGGTGAGGCACTGGGACAAGTTGCCCAGAGAAGCTGTGGATGCCCCATCCCTGGAAGTGTTCAAGGCCAGGCTGGATGAGGCTTTGAGCAACCTGGTCTAGTGGAAGGTGTCCCTGCCCATGGCAGGGGGGTTGGAACTGGATGGGCTTTAAGGTCCCTTCCAAACTAAACCATTCCAGGATTTTATGGACGTTCCTGCACACTGCTGCTCTAGACTAAGCTGTATGGCTCAACAGACGAGTGGTTGCATTTTGTACAAACATATTTTTGGGATGTCTGGCAAACGAACAGCTTAAAGTATTGTCCCTGTAATATGAATCTGTGTTCTAAATAAGTGTATTTTTATTTCACAGGATTATGGCATCACTAAATCTACTGAGATACTTAGTCATTAAGGATTGTGAAAGTGATAATCAAGTAAGTACTAATTGATTTGAAAATGATTGATTAGCTAAGGGCAGAGAGCTGGATTCATGTGAATGCTATCATCCTTGATTCAAAAAACATGTTTTTTGCTTTTTTGTTTTGCAATGGTCAGTAATTTGGAAGTTATGTTTTTATTAACTACATTAGGAGATATGTGATGTGTTATTTTATTCTAATGACATTTGATTGCAGTCATACTTAATTGTTAGTGTAAACAAGCTAATCCTTTTACCCTGCTTGATGAACTGTGGTCTATGTCTGTAATTTTAGACTATGTTAGCATAAAATAATGTCTTTATCAAGTATTCCCATGAGAAAAAATACGTGTTACTCTTGCATATTTATGTGGTGGTATCCCTCAAGCCTCCAAGTGAATTTCTTTATAATAACGATACACATTTTTGCAGTTCAAGATAGACATATTCTTCGTTAGGCAAAATAGGTTTTGTGCAATATACTAGAAGTTAATAGTGTTAAGATATCTCAGAAAGTATTTAATAATAATAATAATAACAATATTTAAATAGTGTTTAGCTGTACAAACCAGTATTCTGTATTTACAGCAACTGTGCAGCTGCATGCTGGGTACATGTTAAAAGCTTCTCTAGGTACGAGCATCCAAAACCTATTTGTTTGTAAGATGCATCTGCTGAAGTAACAAAGGAGTGGGCAGACCTATCAGATTTTCTGCTGCACGGCTTTGCTGGATACGCCCTAGAACGTTTTACACACAAAGGAAACCTGCCAGCCTAAACTGCCCACCACTGTACTTTACCTCTGGGTTTATTACAGGTACACCACTTCGCTTTCAGTCTGCCGGGCGGATGTCGAATGCAGACACTGCAGAAATACTCCACACATTTAAGCTTTGCAGTACATATTACAAACAGGTGAAACTGCCCTTACGTATTTTACCCACAGAATATTATGCTACCTCAGTTTAAAGCAGGATATTACAGCTTTAGTGGTAATCCCCACCTCTTCCTTCTCTGTTCAGCCCTTTTTTGTCTGAAGCAGTCAGCAACACTTGTTACTTCCAGCACAGACTTGTATGTTACCAAGAACAGTCCGAAATCGTGTGCTCAAAACCAGCACGGCAGTGCTCCACTACAACTGATGCGTAACCTTCCCTGTTCTGTTTGAACAGACTGGTGTGTGGACCGCCCTTGGCAAGATCGAGCAGAAGTTTTTAAAACCACTGCACGTAGGGCTCAATATGTCAAAAGTGCACTATGAAGCAGAAATTAAGAAGAAGAAAGAAAACAGAAGAGGTTAGTTGCTTTCTTTTTTTCTTAGTTTTGTTCATATTTAGAAACTTCGGAAATCCTTTAGAAAGGAAGAATTGGTGAGTGCTGTACAGATCATCTTTTATTCGTCTATTGACACTATTCCAAATTTCAAAGAAGAATTCAGTAGTTGCTCCATGTTATACTGATAATTTTCAGATTGGTCAGAAAAATCTGAACACGTGTCTCTCTCATGGCATTTGTAAACCTTACAGAAACCTGGTGGAAGGTTTGTCACAGGAAGATCTTCGAAGCTTGTTCTGCCTTTATGCTTTTGATTTTAAGGTTAGACAGGAGCACCGACGTCTCTCTGAAGATATAGTCCCTGGGCTTCATACTAGGTGGGGGGGGGTTAAGAGGAGAAGAAATGGTTCACGCAGTAAACAGGTGCTCTCTGAAAGCCTGAAGGAGTACGTCCTGGATTTCTGTAGTGTTTTAATCTGACACGGAATGATACTCTGCTGTGGGTTAAGCAGACACGTTCCGCAGGGTGTAATAGCTGTAGCTGCTTTAGGCCATCTTTGGGTATGTCAGGTTCTTTGTGGTTTCCAGTATAATTAAGACAGCCCAAGGAACTTGCTTCTGCTACCAAAAATGTGAGTATGGCCTTTTGCCTCTAGGCTTATCCTCTTCTGTTGCTGTAAACTACATGAGGCAGAGAAGGGAAATTTTTCTGTGGTTATTTTTCTAAAAAGAATCCTTTAAAATGAGTCAGGAAGCTTTTCCTTAAAGTCCCTCTTGCATCACTCTGCCTTTGACAAAGCAGAGAGATTTGAGATCAGGAGAGAACATCTAGCTCATAGTAGTAACTGGTTTAGCCTTTTTCCCCAGTGTATAATCTTTATAAGCATGACGCTGAATTTCAGATATATGGTCTTGAATGTCAGAGTTTTTCCCCTTAGTTTTCAGACTTATAGTTTTGCCTGCTGCGAGTAATCTGCCTGAAACAGAGAAGCCTGCAGCCTTTTCTTAATAAAACATGTATTTCATGTCTGGATTCATTAAGTCAAGCTAAGGAACCTTTACTATCCCTCTGGATGTGGAAATATTAAAAAATGATCAAAAAATGACCAGATTTAATATTTTGTTTTCCTTTTAAGGAGCATTTTAGCTACATAAAATTGTTCTGAGTTACAGATATTGCCTATTTAGTCATCTAATCATATGTGACATAGAAAGTGTGGACAGAGCATCCAACTGAAACTGTCCTTCCTCTTAAGGTCCAGCAGCTTCCATCCTGTGTTTGGTCAATCCCTAGGTATTTCGGTGTAGAAATGCTAATACGTTACATATTCTTTGCATTCTGAAAGCCATGTGAAACAGCAGCCTGATCTCTGACTGGTTGTTTTCTTCTACAGAGGGACACAGTTCTAACACAGTGTGTTCTGTAACTGTTAGTGGGGAAAAGATGCCTGCCATGACTACTGAAATGCAGCTTCAGGTGAGTTTGCATTTCCTTTGAAGCTATTCCAAAATACTGACATTTTCTTTTCAATCTGGAGACAAATACACATGTACAGTGGGTAAAAAAAAAAAAGAATTCTTCTAATAAAAATAACATTAATCTCTTTTGTTGTTTCAGGTTTTACACTCTGCTCTCTTCACATTTGATTTGATAGAAAGTGTTCTAGCTCGAGTAGAAGAACTCATTGAAGTGAAAATAAAAGCTGTAATGGATGAGAACAGTTCAGTCAGCTGATGTATTTGAATTTACATACTTCTTCTAAGGTCATTTTTACTATGGGACTTCAGCTGAAAAAAGGCTACCAGCCTTTAAAGAAGAGTAATTTAGAGTGGCCTCTAGAAGACTTGCATATGTGGCTCCTTGTATGTCTTGTTGCTGTTGCTTTTCATTGTCTTTTGCTACCGTTGTGTGCAGAGACTGCCTGTTTACTAAGTACTCCTCCTCAGAATTTGATGCTTTTTCTCAAGTTTAGAAACTAAGAACAAGGGGATTTTTTTGTTCTTACGCTGTGGCAAGGAGGTATGGTTGTACATTTATTTTTCTGTTCATTTTCAAAATTTGTTAGATAATAGTTGCTGACTGGTGTTGGGAATTACAAAGACATTTACAAAGTGACTGGAGAACCATTAATTAAAAAGCACTGTTTAAGCACAAGGTATTTTTATTGGCAGTTTTTAATGTTGACAAACAAGCTTGTCTATTTACAAACAGGACTGTAAGCTGTGGATAGCTAATAGTAGAAGCACTGTGGCAAATGAAACCAGGTTTCAAGAAAAGCACACCAACTTTGAGCCAAAGAAGATGTTAAAACTTAGTAACCCAGCAGGTAACACTTGTCTTTCAAACGCCGCTGTATAAGACTTCATACCTATACCTGTTTATGCATGGGAAACTTGTACGTTGGAATTGTTTTGATCATCCTTATCTTTAATGATTAAGTTTTCCTTAATAATATTAAATATTTTGGGAAATTATTACAAACAGATGAGCTCCTAAGTTCAGAATCAAGTAAAAAAATAAGGATGGCTTTTCTAGTGCAGTTAAACAGCTATTTTTTTTCTTGGAACGCACATCTGGTATGATGTATGCTATTTTTCAGTGCGTAGTTATTTAATATAAATTTTCATTCCAGTTGCATAAGTTGTATATACAGTCTTTTGAAATGTAACTATATTTTTAAGAACATTATATATATATATATATATTTCAAATGTAGCCACTCTATTTATGAATAAAACCCCCAAATACTAAATTAATTGCGGTGCCACTGGTACTCCTGAAGCATCTTCCAGGCTGGACTGTTTTCTATTATTTGGGCTTTTGTCACTGCCATTTTGTAACGAGCCTCATCTGCCTGTGGCTTGGAAGTTATCTTAGAGGAAAGAAAAATATTATGAGTAACACTCAGTAACTCTTAGGTAACAAAACATCTTATTTTTCAAATAGAACAGATGTAAAATTATTCAGCAGTGAAATTTGAATCATGGTTTCTGGAGCAGATACTCAGGAATGATGCACACAGAGGTGATGTGATGTATCCCTTCAGGTGCAAGACAACCGGTCCTGTCAGCATTGCATCTGGTTATCTGGACAGTATTGCAATAGGAGTTAGTTATGGTAGGTCAGGATTAGTTGGATGGTATTGCTCCCTTGGCCCTGTCTGTCACCCTGGGGCAAAAAAGTTCATATTTTGGGCCTTATACCAGTTAGGGATTCTTTAGCAAGAGGTGAGCTCATTAAACTGGCTTTGCACTGCAAAAGCAGTACGGTCATGGCAACAGACAGATTCGTGGTACATACTATCACCACTTCTTACAGCACTCTCGTGCGAAATCTAGTGTAACGTTCTGAGCAAGGAGGAAAGCAAATTCCAGTTGACAGTATCAGCAGTAATCCTAAAAGCTTTTTAGGTTAATGCTGTATTAAAAGACTGTGCTAGACATCAGTAGATTCCATAAAAAGTTTAAGTACAAAGTAAGTGTTTAACAGCTTCTGCCATATAAGCAAGATGCAGCTTACACACTTTTAAAACGGTGAATATGCTTAACTGGTTAATGCTTATTATTTTGAGATGCCCCCTTCAGGAAAGGATAAAATGTAAATTCATATTTGATTCCTAACATGTCATTCAACCTGCTCTCTCTAGTTTTGGTACATGGGATGCTGCTAATACTGTTTTTGTTAGTATCCAAGTTAAAATTTTCATGGAAAAATGTTCAGTAAATAGATTTAAGTAATGATGTGTTAATGCAGACAGGGTATGTTACAGACAGATTACACTCACTGAGCTGTAGAGGTAATACTCTAGTATGTGCATCATTAAAAATCCACAAGTAACTGGAGTTGTCAGGTTGGCATTTTTAAGCTGAAGTCATTACATATTTAGGGTTCAGGCTGGTTCTGCAGTAGAAGTGAAGACATCCTAACTGAACAGTGATGAGAGCTGAATTAGCTCTTACGTATCTAACTTGTCTTCGTAAATAAGAGGTTTCAAAGTTACCTTTAACAATAGTTTAAAAATTCAGCTAAAGCATCACAGTAACAGTTGTATCTCAATGTATTATGTGGATTGTGGTCAGTAAGACCCCAACGTTCCATTAAGGAAAAATAAGGAATGTATAGTTCTTGGCTTTTCCTAGCTAATACACTTCTGAGGAACTAATGTTTTTAAGTATATGCAACCAGGCTTACCTTAGCTATAGTTAGCATTAACTTCACAGTTTCAGCAGTATTATGAACTGGTATTATATGTAAATTACTGCCCAGGAACCTGCACATCAAAATAAATCAACGTTAAGTTTACTTTTAGAATGCGTATTTGATTTGTTATGCCACAAGACTTACAGCGTTCCCACCTGATGTGAACACCTTCTTGCCATGCCTTCACCACGAGTACATAGACTGCTTTCATCTTTAAAGAGAGCTGTTTGGATAGCCACCTGTCCCATTTGTGTCCCACGTGTCGAGGTGGGATTTGGACGGGCTCGTTTCTTTTCCCAGGGCTCTCTGACAAGCGGTGCTTTTAAAGCACGTGTACATCCAGAGGGACCTAAACCCTCTTCTGCTCTGTTGTTGAAGGCTTGTGTGTCCTCCCTGCCCGTGAAAAATGTTTTTCTATGGCTTTGGAAAGAACACAGGAAAGTATCTAAAAAACATGGTGCTAAAAAAAAACCCTCAGATTCTGAATGTCAGATGCAATTAAGATAATGGGATAATTCTGCAAAGAATTTCACGTAAAGATTTGTTTATTCAAACAACCTCAAATTCACTGTTGTTCTATAAATAATGTTACTCGTATGCATTCATTATTGAGAATGGAATCTGAAGATGTAAAATACTGGTACCAGCTGTCGTTCAGTGCAGCCATGAAGAGAGAGGTCAAAGCTTATGCAAGTGCAGCGCCTCTCCTTAAGTTGCTGTACCAGTGACAAAGGGTTAGCATTGCTGCCATTTTCTGCCATCGAGCTAAAACACGGTAGGGATTTAACAACAAAGAATGAGGAATTTTAAATAACCAAAAATTTGATGCAAACAAAGTGCCCAGCTGCTGAGGCTGAGGGGAAGAACTGCCACCTGCTCTTCCCCTCAGTCTGTTAGATGACTCGGAGCTGTTCGCATCATGACCCACGCCAGTTAGATAGCTGGGCTGGACGTGGCTGCCCGTCCTTCCGCTTAGCTAAAACTAGCGGCGCAGGTGCTGTCTTTCCCTGAGAGGAGATACTAGGGTTGCTGTTGAGTTTTGCTAAGATACGATACAGAAACTGGTCTCATTTACATTCAGGAATGAGGGAAGTAAAGAGATGCAACTTGGCTAACATCAGCAATGGGCCAAGCAAAGTGTGAGTGAGCAAAGAAACAACTGCATGTACTTACCTAGATCCACGAAAATCCGTTTCTATCAAAAATTTTGCTTTCTTTGCAGGTGTAAATTTAGTTTGTATTTTATTTGATCAGGGGGTAGAATACTGGCCATTAGAACATGTCTGCTTTTTCCTCTGAGGATTTTACAGGTTAACATACAGGTTTACTGAGGATGTTAGTGGGATGCTTATTTGAGCCATGATGATAGAGATTGCTTTTCTCCTACTTCCCCCATGACATACACAACCCTGCATAAAGCGTGTGTGGTGTTGAACAGCAATCCTGTGATGTTCTTCTTAATAATTAAAAAAAATCTGTCCCTAGTTGCAACAAAACCATAGATAAGCAGAAAGAAACGGTAATACAGGAAGACCCGAAAATACCAGGGGACATTGTTTTTTAATAAATCCAACAGGCGCCTTGTAATTTGAGAGAACATGGCACAAGTTTCAAACCGACCAATGCAAAAGCTCAGCCAGTGATTTACGTACAACAGCAGAACTCCAAGCTGCCAGGCAGTAACAAAACACCTGCATCTAACATATCATTGTGCCTTGTCAGCATCAATCTGGTATGGCCTGCAATGACCAAGCTATTATTTTTATTTTAATCAAGTTACTAACTTGCCAAATGGAATGTAGTTTCAAAGCAGCACATCTGTTAGCGGTCAACACGCACACAAAATTCAGTGTATGCAGTCGCAAAGCGGACCGAGAATTAGCACTGCCATCAGCTGAGTAACATGTTCTTCCTGAATGGTGGCAGAGCTTTTAAGACCTCTCAAGAAAATGTACGGAATTTTCACAAACGGATAATAGCTTTCCTACATTTCATCCCATACACTCTGCTACTCATCAGCATTTGGCAGTGGTCCCAGGATTTAACGAAACTGGTGCTAATTTCAGGGAGGTAAAGATCAAAGACTCCATCAGAACAGTGGCTTCTTTCATGTCAAGAGTGAAAATCAGCCGCGTTTAGGACTACAGCCCCTACCAGAAAATAATTTTGACCACAAGTGTGGGGCACAGTCTGATAACTGTTGTCAGCAAGAACGGACTGAAACATGCAAGTTTTCAGGCTTCATTAGAAATCACAGATAAAGTTTTAAACAAACCTTGTTGTAATGTCCAGCTTTATACTTTTGGTCTAAACTGACATTGATTATTTCAATTGTTCTAGCTCTATCACAGACACCGTTCCAAGTAAAGGGATTTTAAAAGCTGGTAAAGAATCTGTGCTTTACAATAAAAGCCTTTTCTCATGAAGGAAATTTGCCCCATCTGTTTCTGAAAATGGCTGTGATGCTGACAGCTCAGAAAATAGCCTAATCTTCCAGTTTAAGAGAAAACTTTAAAAACAATGATATTACACAG